TTGTAAAAATATTTAATGATTCTGCATCTACTGCCTTTTGCAAAAAGAAATTCCAAAGACTCACAAACTCCTGAGAAAAAAAAGTTTCCTAATCTCTGTCTTTAATGGGTGACCCCTTATTTTAAACTATGACCCCTAGTTCTAGTTTTTCCCACAAAAGAAACATCCTTTTGACATCCACCTAGTTGCAGTCCCTCAGGATCTTATATTTTTCAATTAAATCACCTCTGACTCTCCTAAACTCCAGAGGACAAAGGTGTTGTCCGTCTAGCCTTTCTTCATAAGGCAATCCACTCATTCCAGGAATTAGTCTAGTAAACTTTCTCTGATCTGCTTCCAACACGTTAACACTGTATAACTGAAGCATAACCTCCTTACTCTTGCAATCAATGCCCCTTGCAATAAAACATACCATTCTATTAACTTTCCTGATTACTTTATGTACCTGCATACTAACCTTCTGTGATTCATGTACTAGGGCACCCAGATCCCTCTGCATCTTAGAGCTCTGCAACTTCTCACCATTTAGAAGCTCACTAATGATCCATGGGAAGCCTGTTTTAATTGATTTACATTTCATATTTTCACCTCATTTATATGCAAATTGTTATTGTCCCATGTAGTGAAGAGAAACCAGATGGCAACAATTCCCAACATGGAAGTCAGGGTTGTGACCAGGGCGGCTGCAGCTCACCATTTCCTTCACTGGACCTCCATCTTAACCAGTAGCTCCCCAACATCTTTGGCCATGCTCCATTGGCAGTGATTGCCTGCAACCCCCATCCACAGAGGTTGATGTCAGACCGACACAGGCCTCACCACATGATCATGGCATAGCTCCACCTCATTTAGAATACAGTTCTCCCCTTTGGAGCAGACTGACACCACTCAGTATAAGGCTGCAGCCCATCTGCTTTGTGCACAGGGACAGGCACTCATTTCATGCAACGGAGCAAGGTGCATCTCAGTGTTCTTTCCTTTTTTAAGCATTCACTCACCTTGCAAAAATTTGGATGCTCACAGCCTTCCCTTTTTGAGCATTGCTTCCTCATTCAGGCTCACAGTACTTCTGTTTTACCTCTGCTTTTAGCGCAGACACAAAGCCAAGCAGCCTGTCATGTCTGCCAGCAGTCAGTCATGACAGCCGACATGTGTACGAACCATGCTCCATCAATATCACACCTGCAGCACCTACCAGCAGCTTACGCGGCAAACATACAGGATGTGCATTGACCAAATGGCCGTGTCTCAAAATCTAAGGGGAGTAGTCCTCAGTGAAGGCAATGGGGGTTGGAGGGGTGCTATTGCCAGTCAGTGGGTCCCATCATACTTAGTCAAGGGCAGCATCTGGTCTCAGTGTGGGGGTGTGGATGTGTCAGTCAACCATTTGGGACAGTTCGGGTCAGGGGTTCCGGATCATCCCAGATCAAGTAGCAATAGAGTTACGAATTTGAGCTTCTATTTACAACAAAGTGTCGGTCATACCCTCAGAGGTTTTTTCTTTTGTTTCATTCCCACTATGTGCATTGTGAAGGGCTATTCATGGCTAGCAGCAATTGACCTGGTGCAGAACTGGACTTTAAACATTTGTGCGATGATGGAAATCCCAGAAGGCCTTGGCAGTGATAAATATCTCCAGCACCAGTGAGCGCATGATAACACGAAAGCAGCACCATAGAAGTATGGCTCATACATGATGAGATGAGCTGCTGGAATTGTATAAGATAACTTGTTAGAGCTTACGAAGAAAGTCTCTCAACGAAACTCTCTAAAATTGACATTTAGCTGATTTCTGGTGCAACTTGGATCACTGTTTAAAAATAAGTGGTTTCCTACTTAAGGTGGAGATGAAGAGATTAATTTTTCTTAGCGGATGATGAGTCTTTAGAAACAGGGTCATTAAATATTTTTGAGACACAGGTAGTTGGATTCTTGATTAATAAGGGAGTCAACGGTTATTGGGAGTAGATAGGAATGTGGATTTGAAGCCACAATGAGATCAGCCATGATCTTATTAAATGGAGGAGCAGGCTAGAGGAGCCAAACGGCCTACTCTTACTCCAAATTCATAGCTGCAGATGGTATGTGCGTATCATTAAACCACAAGAGAGCTCTGAACATTTATCTTCCATCATACTTACAACATATTTTATATTTTTAATAATTTATTTTGGTCCTTCTCTAAAACAAATTGAATGATTATTTGAAAATGTATTTTGATTTGAATCATTAATAGTGTTCATTACAGTTGAAACAGTCACTAGTCTGCTGTTGAGATAATATCGCTTCTCAGATTGTAAGCCTTTCTGTCGTTGCTGGGATTTATTGCCAGTCTCTTCCATTGAATGCATTCTTATCGTTTCCCTTTTATCATTGCCAGTGGCAGATTAGTGTATTTCCTGTTCCAAAAGTCATGTTCTTGTGGAAATATATGGTTTCTTGGAGGTGGTTAAGTAATACTTTAGCATGTTGAATGATTAATTGTTAACTATAAGGGATAGAATGTGCATTGATATGTTTCAGCTCTGCTTCCTTTAATATTTATTTGCCTAAGTCATATTACTTATGTTACTTGAGATCTGAAGGTCTGTAAATCCAGAATTATATCAGCCCACAGATTTTTATTGATACCAGTAATTTAAATTTTTCCATTACAAAGTAATAGCAAATGAGAACTTTGATAGGACTTGAGGGGTCTTCCTATGGTTGAGGCTTACTTTAAGCTTAGGGTTCATAGATTATTTCCTTCCCTGTTATTGAAATCTAATGTAATTGTGCCCTCTTTATTTATCGCAGTTACTATAATTTATTTGAGGCTTTTATTAGTCTTGCTCACAGATCTGTTCTTGCACTTGTTTCAGTTTACTTCCTGTATTTCATCTTGCATTTGATTCTACAACGTAGTAATCCATGATTAAAAAGTGTAAAAGTTGCAATGAGATGGAAATAATTAAGGCAAAGTGGTCAATTTCACAGATTGTATCAAAGTAAAAGGGAGACTGATTTGCAAGGAAGCTACGAGAAATCATGAACTTCTGGAATGTGGATATTGCTACCAAGGCAAACATTTTCAGCTGTCCTTGTTGCTCTGAAAAGGTTATCATGGGTCTTCTACTTGAGCAGTTTGATATAATGAGTGACTTGCTAGGTCACTTCAGAGAGCAGTAAGAGCCAACCATATTGGTATGGGCTAGAGCCACATACAGATTAGGCCAGACACGGAAAGCAGAATTTCCATCTTTAAGAAGATTAGTGTGCCAAGTGGGTTTTTATGACAATCCAGTGGGTTCATTGTCACTTTTACTGACATGAGCTTTTCACTTTCAGATTTTATTTCCAAGCTGAATTCGAATTCTCAAACTGTCATGGTGGGATTTGAATCTACATTTGCTGGATTATTACTTCAGGCCTATTGATTCCTTAAATAAAAGCAAAATATTGTGCACACTGGAAATCTGAAATAAACAAAGAAAACGCTGGAATAACCTCAACAGGTCTGACAGCATCTGTGGAGATAGGAATACAGTTAATGTTTCAAGTCCAGTATGACTTTTTTCAAGAATGTTCACACCTGCTGGGTTTCTTAAGCATTTTCTGTGCTTGTTTCCTATCGGTTCTTGTCCAGTTACATAACTGTACTCAAATTATACAATATGATCTGCAACTGGAGAGAGTGGAAACAATTCAGGCAAGCATATCTCCCTTGTATTGCTTACAGAAAATTAAACAGGGCTCATTTATTTTATAAAATATCATGGCGCTATACGTATGATGTCCTGCAGCTCTTGGTGTTTTTTAAGCACCGTCAGGTCTCTCCTTGTTTGCACATATCTCATAAACTTGTGAAGAATGGAGCAGAATTCCCTCACTCATTTAGTTAAACTCTCACTTGGCAACAGTCAGATAAAGTGGCTAGGAATAAATCAAGATGTGGATTTAATTAGAAAATTGCAGTTGGCCTTGGAAGGGTTGGTAGTTGTGGAGGACTGAGTCCCAGGGGGTTCGGACCGACAAAATCCAAGAAAGTTTCTATTTCAGAATTTTTTTTGGTATGCTCCTTGTGAGAGAAGGTGATATGGGGAGAGAACTCTAGGACTTTGTGCATTCCCACTGCATGACAGCTGATTGCCAGAAGTTTTGTTAAATGGAGCCAGCAAGTGCTCAAATCATGAAAGTGGATTAGTGGATGTATAGTGCACTCTGTGGTAACTGGTTATGTAGGGCTATCAATAGGTTTGTTGGCTCTTGTGGTGCAAATGATGAGTAGGCAGGTGTGTTAGGTGAAACTTGAAAAAATAATTAGGTGAGAGAAATTGTGAATAACTTGCTGAGCTAAAAGAAAGTGGTAATGGAGGATGAAACTTGTTTACAAACAGTGCCATTGCTATTGTAGGCAATGCAAGAAGATCCAATTATAGGACAATTACAAGAAAACTTGTATACAATATATTGGACGAAACAAGTAACATTTCCTCATTCCATATTTATTTTTGTACATGTAGATGACTCAGTAAAGGAAGAAGTAAGGTCAGTTTAGTCTTTTGGTGTCTGTTCCTTGGAGCAATTGCTAACTGTATAATCTGTGATAAAACAGTGTTTGAGGAGTCAAATAATTCACTTAGCTGCGCATGGTCTTTTCTTAATTATTGGGTCAATAGCACATCATGACTGGTATAAATTAAATCACCATGAACAAATCAGTAGAGGAGTTAAATCAGACATTTTTATAGATTAAAGTAGCACTGCACAAAAACTGCTTTCTTAGATGCTAGTTTGGCTCTGAGAACATAACTATTTGACAGCTTCAGCATATCAGTAAAATTACCACTGTGAATAAGCAGATGTAGAATATACATGACTCTGATAGTGGAGGAATGAGCTGTTATCTTAATGCATTTTTCTATTTCAAACATAGTAGCTAGGAAAATATTTTTCTAATCCCAATTCCCTTTGAATTTATGAATTTATTGACTCTGCAAAATAAGTGGTAGATTTCATCCTCACCTAATTTCATGAAGTTTAAGAAATTCATTGATAACCATCAATGGGAACAGCCAGAGGAAACCAAGAAGCCAAGTTGCTGAAGGAATGTCCAAGATGTGAAAAATAAGATGTGAGGATTTATTATCCCATATGTAGTAGGCTACATTTATTTGAACCACATGAAGAAGAAACCTAAATACAAAACAGAATTAAAGTATTGAGGTGAAATTGAAAACATTTCCCATCTTTTACATCGACCACAAGCTCTACTGAGTCTCCATATTTCAAAGTTGCACTCCCAGTGGAAGCACCATGTCTATTCCATTATTAATGCTACCTTCAAGAAGCTCATATTGCTCTTTGAACCAGAAAAAAGATTTTCAATCCCAGCATCTCTTAGCTCTCATCGAAAACTTGAATCCAAATGACATATCTGGGAGCATCAAACTCACTCTCCAGTCTTTACTCTGGGATGAGTTACAGAGAAAAAAAGCTTGTTATCTAATGGATGATCAATCCTTCAGCTCAAACCTCTAAAACCTCTTTCTCTATTAATCTTTTTTGTCTATTTTATCGATAAGTCTATTGCCAGTAGTCATTGTCCCTAATAAGCTTCAAATGTTTTTCCTTCAACTTACAAGTTAAATATTGTAATAAAGGCTCACCGTATAGTACCCTAATCTAACTAATTCTTCCCCAGACTTCAATACTCTGAGACAGTCACTTCTTTTGATGTGCTCTTCCATGGGTGATCATCATTATGCTGACAAGAAATGAAGATGAGGCGTCTATTAGAACCTAGAAACAAAAACAAAGTTGCTGGAAAAGCCCAGCAAGTCTGGCAGCATCTGTGAAGGAAAAAACAGACTTAACGTTTCGGGTCCGGTGACCCTTCCTCAGAACTATTAGAACCTACTTGTCTCATTTAAATAACTGCATAGCCAACTCATTTTCAACGATTTATACTTCTTGTTAGCACCCTCCTAGCAATTATCTGTCTTGACTTGTCTTCTGCAATCTCTTTGTTTGTCTATCCCTTCTCTCTCTCTGTCTGTCTCTGGGCATCATCTCAATGTACCCTATTTGCATGCATTGAGATAATTCCCTCTCTGCCAGACCTGCCGAGTTTCTCCAACACTTAACTGTTAGTGTTTTCCACAGTTCCAGCATCAGCAGTTCTTTGCTTTTATTTCAGAGCTCGAGAGAACCTGCCCATGAAGGATAGTGGTGTGTGTGTGTGTGTGTGTGTGCGTGTGCGTGTGCATGGTATGTGGGTTGGACTGTCTTCATTTTCACATTTGTTGATATCTACAGTGTCCATGATTAGCCTGTGTGAGAGTTTAAATGAACAAAACAATAATTCATCCAGGAATTGTTCAACTACAATTTAGTTTCTCAGAAATGAATTATATTCTGTAACAAATTTCATAGAATCTCTACAGTGTGGAAACAGGCCATTAAGCGGAACAAGTCCATACAATACCTCCCAACAACACCTCACCCAGGCCCATCCCATTTAACCCCTAAGTTTCCCATGGCTACTACACCTAAATCACACACCCCAGACACTCGGGGCAATTTAGCATGGCCAATCCACCTAAATCGGAGCACCCAGTGGAAAACCATGCAGACACGGGGGGAATGTGCAAATTCCACACAGTCTCCGGAGAGTGTAATCGAGTCTGGGTCCCTGGCACTGTGAGGAAGCAGTGTTAAGCACTGAGCCACCATGCCATCCAACCTGCTCCCTACTATCTGTATATTCCATTGTGTGTAGTTTAATCTATCAGATTTTACTGCACTTTGCATCTGCATGATAAACTAAATCTTCTTTTAATAAAACAATTGGCAATAGTTGTACCTACGCAATAATGATGGCAGCACACCACCAATGGTTACTTAGTGGACTTTGTTTCCATAATGGATTGGATCTATGAACATGACTCATTGATGTACACACTGAGAAATAGAACAGTGCATTTTAAGACTTAAATCATCAATTTCAAAGTGTTTATGACACAACTGGGAATTCACTTTAATTCTATATAGATATTTCCTGCATCAATGAATAGTAGCCTTAATATTTGATATTACAAGTATTTAATTTGCTTGGATTTTGTATTCAGTGGTGAAGATAGTGATCTGGTAATCGCTATACCTTGGTTGTCTCCTATCCTGGCATAGTGTAAAATCTGCTGCCAAGTCCTTGCCATGATGTCAGCAAGCAGGTAAGCCGTGAGTCACTGTTAAATATTCACATACAGCAAACCAGGAAATTAAAAACACTAATATACAAATTAACTTAGAATTTTCATTTTCAGATGGCAAAATAACTTTTGTCTTAATCCAGCACAATCATTTAAAATAAAGAAGAATCAATTACATTATTAAAAAAATTAAAAAGCAGTGAGTTTTATTTCATTACTATGGAGAAATTTGACATCTCATGAATATTAAATTTGTTTTTTGGGGTCAATGAGTGTCTTTACAGTGATTATGAAATTTGTAAGCCTTTAACAACCAAGTTATGCCACACATCATTTTGCAATTTTTTCGAGTTTTGTTTTAACAGCAAGACAACAATGTTAAAATTGTCATTTAAATGATTTCCTATTGAATCTTTTCTTGGGGCAGGGTTGGAAGTAGTTGTATGGGCCAAATATATGCAGTCAGGCTGACTCCAGATTCCTTTGAAAATGGTAGGCAGTAGTCAACTGTGAGATTCCCATTCCCATTCCTGCATCCTGCACACCTGACCTGTTTGGGTCTATTGCAGAGATGGATGACTCCTACACCCACCACCACCACACCATTTTTGTGGAGTTTGGGCCAGCTTCTCAAGGATACATGTTTCATGGGCCATCAGAGGCGTCACAAACCATAGTCTGGAACCAGAATTATGTTGTGAGGTACATTTATGGGTTTAACTTATGCCCCTTTCATGTCCCTCTGTGTCTTTAATGTCTCTTCCATGCTCCAACTACATCTTCCATTCCTATTCAAACAGTGTGGTCTATAGAACCATCTAATAAAATTGTCTTGAAATGCGTCAAGAAAACCTTGCAAGAATCTAATTGAAATAACATTGCTGCTCTTTGAACCTTGTAAAATTATTGGGTTTACAGAACCCTATCAATCTGACAGAGCTATCACCATAATAACAACCCAAACCTTACTTACTTTGTTTTTGTCCAAATAAACATTCAGACATTGAAAGGATCAAATCAAAGAGCAATTTATTAAAACATCTTAATTGTGTTGATTAATCAAAGCAAATACTCCTTTTCTATCTGTGTAGCAAAATGCATTGGTGTATAGTAGTGATCAGCAAAGCATTCATTATGAGGCCTCTGTGAACTGTTTCACCAGAAACAGATGACCATATATCCAGTGTCTCCAGATGGTCATATGATTAGTATATGGCTAAACCCCAAGTCACTCTAATTGATGAGCTCAATCGAGGGTCTTGTTTTCAGAAGATAAGTTGCTTTGATTGACATATTTATAGGGTTATAAGAGGTTATCATTTCTTTGAACCACATACATTGCCATTTTCTTTACTTAAACAAGATTAAAAGGCATGAGTGGGGTAAAGTTTCTGTTATTGACACTGTAATGGAGCTCTCTGATAATTAAACAGGGTTAGAATAGCAGCAGGTTTTCAAATCAGAGCTTTGAGTGGTTTTTTTAAATTCCATTTTCAGAATTTCTGTTGTTACTGTATAGTTAATTGAATCTATACTGTATGCTGGATGACTAGGCTTGGAGGATGCACGGAGCTTGGAAAGGGCATGGGCACGAGGAGGCAAGGGATAATTGAATGAAGAATGGGATGCTGGAAAAGGCATGGGGTTGCTGAGATAGCATCAGAACCATAGAGATAGCAAAGGGTGCAAGTGGGGGTGGGGGCGATGGTGAGGTGTGAAGGGTGAGAGTTAATGGACGTAACAACTTTTAATGCAACTGGGAAAATGTGTTGGAGATCTGAGGAAGGCCTTCTAGTCAGCCTGACTTGGCATTTATCTGCTTCTGCGGCCACATCCGGGTGACTGACTTGACTCAAACCTGTTCTTACCTCCCTGGAGCAAAAGTTAGCAGGTGGGATGCTCATATATGTTGATAAATCGGCTGAATCAGGAAATTTTCCAAATTGAGCTTCCTGCTGCAATGGCAAAAATCAGGCCCTTCACCTCAACACCGCAACCTCTTGTGAAGTATAGAATCACTGACAACAACTTTTGAATTTCTGCGTTATTCTACACATATGTGGATTTCATTAGTTACTGTCAATTCAGAGGAGTAATGACAGCAAACCATCACTGTTACTGCAAAATATGCACCACTTGTTTTATTTGAGCACTTATCCATCTCATCCTCCAGAAAACCAATAATGTTACTTTTGGCCTATTATGCAACAAAAATGGTAGATTGCGAGACTTTTGAACATTTTCCATTGGTTGGTTTGAAATTGCCCCAAATTCTGACTTTGAAATTAGAGATAAATGATTTGTGTAAATTCTGTTCAGTAACATGATTAGAATTCTTCTTGACATATATATACAGTATATTTCAGACTTTATGTCACACAATTTATCAGTCAGCTAAAGTAGGATTTATTGTGTAATAAATAAAAGATGTGCCTTATAATTGAATCAATGAGGCATAAAATTCTATGCAGTTAATAAGAATAATTTTCATGATAGAATATTTGATAATTCATCATAAATGATTTAAGATTGCATGGAAATCAGTTTCTTCATTTACCTTTCTGAAATAATCACCTTCTTCCCAGTGAAAACATTGCTTTCATTTGTTGGATCTAAGATTTGCTATTGCACTGGCAGTTCCAGTCTTCGAAAGTGGCATTTAAAGCAGGTGGCAAGGGTCTCACCTGCTATTTGAAAATCTGGCGACAGCAGTGTGTCACCCTCAGTGCCAGCCTTAAATGGACAGTGGTAGCTTTCCTCAGAATCAAAGATCTCTAGAGGTAGAGAGCCTGCTCAGCAAGTGTTGTCGACTAATCAGAGTCTAGGCATGCTTTTATGCCCAGAACCACCACTGCGACCAGTACTGTACCCACCCAAATACAAAGATTGCCATGGACCCAGGCACAGATGAATAGTGGTGGGAGGAAGGGTCACAATGAGGGACTCTCTGGTATATTAGCAATGAGGATCTCTTGTCACAGGTACCTGAAAACAAATATTCGAGGGTTTGTTCTTCATGCTTCCCCACACTCACTGCTGGGTGAATGGTGGTGAGATGAGGCCCTTAATTAATTATTGAGGGCATTAATTGACCACTTTAGGGGCAAAATTGGCAGCAGGGCAGGAAGGCCATTGACAGACCCCCTGCCACAGTCTTAATTGTGGCAATGGAGGGAAATAAATGAGTTCTCTACCACCACCTTCCTGCCTGAATAAATGCTCAAACTTACCACAGGGATGAGCATTAACTTTTGCCTCCATATTTACATTCCTTAGTTATAAAATGTCCCACTAACAATGTATAAGTTGTTTAAGACCTTTGAATAGACAAGAATCTATTAAGCACAACACCTTTACATGTAAGACCAGAAGATGAAAGAGCAGAAGTAGGCTATTCAGTCCATTGAGTCAGCCCTAACATTCAATGAGATCATGGCTGATCTGACATTCCTCAACTCCACCTTCCTGCCCTTTGATTTGTAATCAGTAAAGGAATCAATCTTCAAATCATTTTGGAGAAAGATAAATATTGTCCACCAATAGTTTTGTGTCTGTATTTAAAAAATGCCTAAGGAGTAAAGCTTCAAATAAACATTTGCTTGTAGATATGGTTTTAGAAATGTTAATCTGTAAATTCTCGACTGTATACTTTAGTTGAATGTCTTGAACTGAATATTTGAAGTAATAGTTCAGTAAGTTGCAAAGTATTTGCCACTGAGTTCAGTGGTCTTGATACTAAGGGCGCTTCAAATGAATATTCTTCTTTTGAAATGTTAGCTTCAATCTCGTTCGAAAACACAACCAACTGTTTGGCTGGTAATAGTGTGTACTTAGTAATTAAAGTTGAAGAGGACTTAAAAGGGGGACAGTTCAGAAAAAATATATCTGCCAGAATGTAATTAAATAGTCACATTAAAAGCAGATGATCCTTTCCCAGAATTTTGAAGTTTCATGTATTTGTCTGGAGGTTAAAAAGGATTATGTGAGATATAGGCCATTCATAATTTGTGTCTTATGTACTTCAGTACTTAGATCTTAGAAATTTTGGTTTTTCTCTAGATTCAAAAGAAGAGGAAATGAAACTTGCATTGATAATTGTTTGTATAGAAATTATCTAATTTCACATTCAACAGTGGAGTAACATTACAGTTGTCCTTCATATTAGCAGACTAACTGAAAATAACATAAATACATTGTACATATTCAGAACGTAATAAAGACTAGGATGTTTCAGAATTTAGTGAACTTGTTTTTGTAAATCATTATTTTCTTGATATATTTCAATTTAGATCATTTGATCATCTTAGTTAATTACATCCATGTAGAAGGATGAAAAAAGCTACTATCTTCTGAGCCAGCATAAGAGCATTCCAATATTCTTCAAACCAATTCGGTGACACATAACTTGGATTCCTATTTCAATTAAGATTAAAGGACAGAGATAATGAATATCATAAGGCCATATCTTGTGTATCCAATTCGCCTAATGCTCTGAATTTTAAGAGGCTCATGTGATTATTAAACATTTGTCATGCTCGATTAAAAGTCTTCTTGACATATATATATTTAAGACTTTATGTCAAACAATGTTTTAGTCAGCTAAAGTAGATTTTATTGTGTGATACATAAAAGATCTGTCTAATAATTGAATCAATGTTGCATGAAATTCTATGCCGTTAATGAGAATAATTTTCATGATAAATTGTTTTGATAATTCATCATAAATGACTTAGTATTGCATATGCATCAGTTTCTTAAATGTTAACAATTTATTGGCTTAATGCAATTTTTATAATCTTACTCATAAGCAGAAAACTCAGTGAGTATGGCTACAATCAGTTCATAGAGTGCTAGGAGAATCTGGTCTGAGATCAGAAAAGGCTGTGTTCTTAAATTTACATTTCTACTTTCTCCTTTTCCAAAACATTCAGTTAAAAGACAGGGGAGACTTGCACATGTATCATGTCAATTTTGCATATTAACAAGCTGCAGAGAGTTGTAAGGACATAAACATTTAGGAAGGAAAGGCTATTCTTGTTCTGACAATACCCTGCAGCTTGTTACAATGTAAAATTGGCAGGGGAATAGGAATAGAGACTCCATGAGTTATTTTGATAATGTGCAATTTGCTCTATCGTGCAATCTACACCCGCAATTCATCAGCTAATGAAAGGTTCTACAAAGCCATGCCTTTTTCTTTTGCACACCAAAGATAAATCGAGGAAAATTTTGGAATATCTATGATCTCTCTTTTTGCCTTGTGCATTCTAGACCTGTTAATTTTCAAGGCCCGATGACATCTGGAAGCATTTTGTTCCACATTCCTGAGTTCAAATATTTCAAAAGGGAAGTAGATAAATATTCAAAGGAAAAAGGTTTGCAGGGCCATGTCAGAGAGCAAGGGAGTTGGACTAATTGAATGTCAAAAAGCTGTTTCAGCAAGGACAACGGGCCCAATGGCCTCCTTCTATGCTACATCATTTTATTGTGCTATGACCTATTTGGCCGTCTCCCAGTAGAAACACAATAAGCAATTTAAAAGATAGTAGATTTAAAAGCTTCATAAAAATAACACTGCAACTGTAATGGAACTGTAAAAGAGAATGTGAAAGAATATAAGCAATCCAAACAGTGGCTGGTTGCAAGGGGAGAACAAAAGGATAGATCTTTGACAGGGTAGAATGCAAAAGAGACGAAGGGTGAGGTTTTGCTAAAGCATTACAGCTCTCATTGTCAGGACAATTTCTGGTTGCTGGCATGCTTGGGCAAGGGGGGCAATTAAGATCTGGCAAGTGGGGCAGCTGTCAATTTAGAATGCAAGTGGGCCTTCAATGTTGCTATCTCAATTGGAGACTGTTAGGGTAGCATCAGCAAGACAGATGGCCACTATGTTGCGTTGCACTGAGAAGGGACAGCATTAAATGAATACTTCCATACAGCAAGCAAGCAGTGTCTGGAAACTGGGCAGAAATGTGACAGCCACAGTGTTTGGGCATGAGGCATTATTTACTGCTGGTGGCTTCTCCTTTCACTATGGAGCCTGTGGCTCTGACAGCTCAACCACCCCTGACTCCCCTCCCTGCTGCCTGCCACATCCAGGATGTCTAGGAGGCTTCAGGGAGTCTGCCTACTGTCTTCTCACCTCACTTCATAGATGGGGGGGGAGGGGGTTGCTCGACCTCTGGAAAACACCAGCAGCTCAGATTGGGCACAATTGTGCAACTTGAGGCTCTGCCATTCCAGCCACTGGGAAATTTCCCTATGTTGAATGCCATACTGACAGCGTTTCCTGGCATTTTACCACCACTTTCTGAAATAACTCCACAGAGGACAGTATCCCATCACCTAGTCACCCTTTATTTACACGTACATAGTACATGACACTGACCCAGCTAGTTCAGAACTGCCTTCTAGAGTGAACAGAACCTATGACATTCCTATTTATATCTGTCAGCCAGGAGTCCCTGATTGGACCAGATTAACAGCCCCAATCAGGGAACTCATATTCTATTAGGTCCACCTGGCTGACTTTGTTCCAGTCGCTACACTTTTCACCATGCCCATCTCAATTCCCAACATCTGTCCCAACAATAATTGCGCCCTAGGTGAAAAAAACGTTTTATGCTGCAAGGTCAAATGGAATGGTAATGGAGCAAATAAAGAAAAAAAATTTCTCCAGGAAAGGTCTGAATGAAAGGAGCCTGAATACAAAGTGCATCTGAATGCAAAATAAAGGAAATATTGAGAAAATGAGACAGAAGCATAAAACAAAATGCAGAAGGACAAAACTAAATGAGGGTAGGGGTTATGATGTAAAATTCCTGAATACAATATGGAGTCCAGGCGACTTAAAAGTGTCTAGTCAATGGTAAAGCAGTGTTCCTCGAGCTTCTGAGATAACAAGGTGTAGAGCTGGATGAACACAGCAGGCCAAGCAGTATCAGAAAAGCAGGAAAGCTGACGTTTCCGGTCTAGACCTTCTTCAGAAAAGAAAGGTCTGAAGTAGACCCTTCTGAAGAAGGGTCTGGACCCGAAACGTCAGCTTTCCTGCTCCTCTGATGCTGCTTGGCCTGCTGTGTTCATCCAGGTCAACACCTTGTTATCTCAGATTCTCTAGCATCGGCAGTTCCTACTTTCTCGAGCTTCTGTTCAGCTTTGATCAAACACTACAGCTGGTCAAGGACAGAAGGAGCAGAGTGAGAATAAGATGGAGAATTTAAGCAATAAGTGACTGAAAATTTGGGGTCATACTTGCAAACTGAATCGTTGTGTTCAGCAAAGCAATCATACTGTTTACATTTTGTCTCCCTAGTATAAGGGAGACCACGTTGTGGGCAGTGAATACAATCTACTAACTGGAAGAAATACAAGTAAGTTGTTATTGTACACAGAAGGAGTATTTGGGGCCTTGGATATTGGCAAGAAGAGAGGTTAAAACGTACCCCTTGCTCTGAAGAATCTTTTGCTACTTAATCCCTCCAACACTTCTTGTAATCTTCTACAAGGCAATAAGATTTAAGAGTCAAAACTGTCCATTTGGCCAATCAAGTCTCCTCTGTCTGTTGTTCTGCTCTCCTTCCTGCCTTTAGCTTGCTCAAATCCTAACTTTCCTCAGCTCATATTAGGGCAGTGAAATATTGAGCTGAATTCTTTGAGCCCCCAAACAATGTGGTCAGTAGCGAGTCAGTTGGGAAAATATGGCAAGATCAGAAAAATGAGACTCCTGATGTCAAGAGGATTTTCTTTTCCACCAAGGTTTTAAAGGTGAGTTTGGAAGCTCATTTGCACTTATTTGCAAGCATTAACATCTCACTATTATCTACTCTTGCCTCATTTATATGCAATTTGCTATTTCCCTAGAAGGTAGATAACAATTCCTGACATTTGGCTAGCAAAACATCTCCAGGCATATTGCATGGGCAGCAACTGCCTACACCTACCCCCTGTCCAACCCTTTCCACAGAGGTTGGTATCAGGTATGCGCTGGCCACACATGGTTCATCTCCAAGTTGCTTAAAATACAGCTCTCTGCTTTGGAGCATACTGACACCTTTCATTGTAATGTTGGTACAAGGACACTTGTGTGCAGGGACAGGCATCCTACTTGTGTGCGAAGCAGGGTGCATCTTAGGGCTCTTCGCTTGACTTCTTAGCTCTCCTACAATTTGCCACTTCTTGGATGCACACAGCATCTCTGCCTAGCCTTGCCTTTTTTGTTTGGCTGCCTCATTCAGAACTTACATGCTCACCATACCTCTGCCTTGCTTTTGACAACAGACCAAGTGGCTTCCCATGTCTGCCATCAGTGATCAGTCAAGGAATAGATATGTTGCCATATGGCACTGCACTCTGTCAAGTGCACACCAGCAACACTTGCCAGCAGCCTATGCAGCAGGACACACTGTGTGTGCATCAACCAAATGGCTCAAAATCCAAGTGGAATAGTCCTCAGTCAGGTCAAAAGGGAATGTCATCTCTCAAGGCATCCCACCATATCCAGTCAAGGGAAGTATCTGATCTCAGTTCAGGGTCTTCAATGTAGTCAGTTTGCTGCGTGAGATGGTCAGGTTCAGGGGTTCTGCAGCTCTGGGGTCAGTCCTAAACATTCAGAGCATGCAGTCAGGAAATTAGTGTCAGGTCTGTCTTTCCAAGTCAGTCAAAGTGGGCCAAGGTTGGTCCTGAACATTGACAAGGTCTTATGCAAGCTGGGCATTAGGGAAAGAATAGCAGTCCCTTAGACTAACATAGCTTTGTGTTAAGGACAGGTAGCAGAACAGCTGTGCCATAGGTCAATGGTGTGTACATAAGGAGGTGAGTTGTGGAGAATTGTGTGAGATGACTCATTATCGCTGAAGGAAACAAACCATCCATGAAACTTCCCATAAATGAAACTTAGCTGATTTTGCTAAAAATTCAGCATATTAACTTTGTTTCGCTCCACAAATGTTGCCTGATCTATTCAGTGTTTCCAGCATTTTCCGTTTTTATTTCAAATACCTCACACCTGCAGTATTTTGCTTATGTAAAAGAATACGTTGCATTGAGGGAGAATTATACCAATCCTATATTTCTAAGAATTCTTTACCAGATGTCGAGTCATCTGTTTTCATTATTGACATTCTGATGCAGAATCATCTATTATTATTCTCCTTAGTGATTTCTTTCTTGCTTTGGAAGCAACTTGTTTCCATTCATGCCTTTCCTCAATAAGAATGATGAGCTTAATCTCAAATTAGATCTCTCAGGAGACCGATTCCCTCCTCAGGGCTTCTCTCAGTCAGATATCTGTGTGCAATAACTGTTAGTCAAAGTTATCTGATTCTGGATAGCCTCCATTAGCCACCAGAAATTACACACAATAGGATTGTTACCTTTATTATATCATATGCAATGTTGTGGACTGCTACAAAATTGAAGATTATCCACATGACAACTACATTCCATTTCCTAATCCTTTCATATCTTAAATACAGCAGAGTTAAGTTATAATATGGTCTTACAGATATAAAGCAGCTATAAGACGTAGGAGTAGATCATTTGGTCCATCGAGTCTGCTCCACCATTCATTGAGACCATGGGTGACCTGATAATCCTCAACTCCACATTCCTGCCTTTTCTCCATAAGCCTTGACTGCCATACTGATTCAAGATCTGCCTGTCACAGTCTTGAATATTCTTAATAACCTCTGCAGCACTTTGTATTAAAGATTTCCACAGATTCACTATCTGCTGAGAGAAGAAATTCCTTCACATCTTCACGTCTTCTCTGCCTTCAATCACATCATTGTGAGATGGCTGTACGCTGTACTGTACAATGTTCAGCTAAATTATCAGTAGTAAGTTATCTTTCAGTGTTTTATAAAGTTAAGTCACCATTGTTTTAGCAGGTCCTACAGCTGCTCTCTCATCAGATAAAGATGTCTGATGCTGGTTCAACCTCAAAGTCATCACGCCTCACATGCCATGCTTGAAAATGGCAAACACAAAGAAACGTTGGATACGCTAGGGATGTTTTCATTAGAACAAAGGAGGCTGATGGGTGAGTTAATTAAGATGTACAAAATAGTGAGGGACTTGGATACAGTGGACAGGGAAGACTTGTTTCCCCTAGCAGAGTTACCAGAGGGCACAGATTTAAGGTGATTGTTAGTAGGATTAGAGGAAAGCCTTTTTACCCAGACGGTGCTAAGTGTCTTTCATTTGCTGCCCAGTTTGGTGGTTGAAGCGCAAACCCTCAATTAATTTAAAAGGAACCCAAACCTGCAAAGTTATAGGACAAGTGGGATTATAATAAGTGGCAAACTTATTCAGCCAAATGGCCTCCTTCTGTACTGTAACCTTTCTATGGTTCTTTATAAATACACGTTCAGGGTGTGATTTGCCAAAAAGCAGGTCCTTGGTTCACTATTTACTGAAGTTGCATCCAGAGTTGTTTTCCTTAACAGTTTTTTTTTGTGGTGTTTTGCCAATCTTTCCACCCTCAGGAGCAGACTGAGGAGGCGGGTCCCCAAGTTTACCTCAACCAGAACCGGAATCAAAACTCTCCTGTTGGCAGTAACCTGATCCATACACTGGTCATCGAGCCAACTGAGCTAACCAGCCGCTAAACATGTAAGTATATTAAAGAAGTAATCAGCATCACTCAATCTGTACTGACATGATGGACTAAGTGGCCTCTTTCTGTGTTATGATTGTTCTATTAAATTATAATAATAAAAATCAAATTACCACTTACATGAATGGTCCAAATGGATGGCAAGAGAAATTGGTTTTAGGCTGTTCTTTCATACAGAATCCGTGCAGCATTAATCCAAAGCATGTCAACTGCAAGCAGACAGTCAAGCCAGACTTCACCAGAAAATACAGCACAAAAAACCGTTGGGTCTAGGAGTAAAACAGAAGCAAATAACTATTCAAATACCACAGCTATTGAATTACTGAGAAATATTTTGATCTGCTAGAATTTAGAAGAGTAATAGGCAACTTGATTGAAACATATAAAATCCTAAAGAGTCTTGACAGGGTAGATATGGAGAGGATGTTTCTTCTTAAGGGAGAATCTAGTACTAGGGGTCAATGTTTAAAAATCAGGCGTTGCCCATTTAAAACAGAGGTTAGGTGAAATGTTTTCTCTCACTGGGTCATGAATCCTTGGAACTCTCTTCCTGAATAGGTGGTGGAAGGGACATCTTTGAATATTTTCCAGGCAGACCGATAGATTCTTGATCGGTAGATTCTCGTTATCGAAGGGGGTTGAGAGGTTATTAGGGGTAGGCAAGCGTATGGATTTGAAGTTATGATCAAATCAGCTGTGAACTTATTAAATGGCAGAGCAGGATTGAGAAGGTGAATGGCTTACTCTTGCTCCCGATTCATATCTTTGTACGATCCTCTATCAATCAGGCTTAGAATAATACTTTGTTTTATGATCATCCAGCGAAACACCTTGGGAAGTTTCATTACATTAAAGCTACCAGCTATGTTGTCGTTGTAATTGTCAGCTTTGGGTAAATGGCAACACAGACTTGGTCACTCATAAGTCAACGGTTCAAGTCCATTTCAGGTTATGAATAAGTAATCTTGGTTGACACTCCAGTGCTGTCATGAGGCAGTACTACATTGTCAGAGGAGGCAATCGAGATCTTGTCTTTCTTCACATACATGATTCCATGTATGTATTTAAAGAAGAGCTGAGGCGATATCCTGATGTTTTGACCCGCAGTCAGTCCTCTTTCAATATATCACTACAAATTTGCTGTTTGTGGGACATTTCTGTATGAGAACAGTTTGCTGCTTTTCCTACTTTCCAACATACTTCATTTACTATGAAGCAATTTTAGGATGTCCAAACATTGCGAATGGTCCTATAGCTCAATGGTTAGCACTGCTGCCTCACAGCACGGGAGATCTGGGTTTGATTCCACCTTTGAACAACTGTCTGTGTTTGTACACTCTTCCTGTGTCTGCGTGGGTTTCCTCTGGGTGCTCCAGTTTCCTCCCACAGTTCAAAGATGTGTGGGTTAGATGGGCTGGCCATGTTAAATTACCCATTGTGCACAGGCTAAGTGGATTAACCATGAGGAATGCAGGGATAGGATAAGAGGGTGGATCTGTGTGGGATACTCTTTGGAGCGTCAGTGTGGACTGGATGGCCAAATGGCCTGCTTCCACATTGTAGGGATTCTACATAAATGAAGATTCTTTTACATTTCCAGTTTAGATGCCAATGTCCAACCATTGAAGCAAGGGGAAAGGAGGAGACCAATTTCATTTACTAATAAAAGTAAATATGGCACAAATGGACAGCTGACATGCTAACGACCTTTAGGTACTACTGACATCGAGCAGTCTCACCCCTGAAGAGAAGAATTTAATTGAAGAATGCAGCTTTTCAGCTGGCCTGTCAGTCACCATGACCTGACTACTGTGCTCCTGCTGGTGTATCACAGGCTGAATGTATCTTTCTTTCCCCAGAGCAGTAAGTTACATTGAGTGGGTTTAGTATTACATTGTAAATCTGACGTTTAACTTCTGAGAACGAGCAAATGCTTGACACATCGTTAGGATTTCCTCTGTCTTAAAGCCTTGATCATGTAGGGTTATATCTTCTCCTGTCATAACTAACATTGTTTTCATCCCTTTCTGATCTGTATCAAGTTCTAATTTAAAACAGATGAACTTCACTCGCATCCAGCACATACTTCTTTGCTCTGGATTGTTTTGCTTCTAATATCAGAAATTTCTACATTGACATTTCACAGTGTCTGCCATTTATCATGACTTATTTATCAGAAGACTATTCTTAACATAACAGTGTTGTAACTAAGACTGGGAGCAGACCATTTAGAACATAAGAACATAAGAACTAGGAGCAGGAGTAGGCCATCTGGCCCCTTGAGCCTGCCCCGCCATTTAATAAGATCATGGCTGATCTTTGAGACTCGGCTCCACTTACCCGCTCACTCACCGTAACCCTTAATTTCTTTACTGTTCAAAAATTTATCTAGCCTTGCCTTAAAAACATTCAGCGAGGTAGCTTCAACCGCTTCACTGGGCAGGGAATTCTACAGATTCATAACCCTTTGGGTGAAGAAGTTCCTCCTGACCTCAGTCCTACATCTGCTTCCCTTTATTTTGAGGTGATGCCCTCTAGTCCTAGTTTCACCTGCTAGCGGAAACAACCTCCCTGCCTCCACTTTATCTATTCCCTTCATAATCTTATATGTTTCTATAAGATCTCCCCTCATTCTTCTGAATTCCAATGAGTATAATCCCAGTCTACTCAGTCTCTCCTCATAATCCAACCCTCTCAACTCTGGAATCAACCGAGTGAATCTCCTCTGCACCCCCTCCAGTGCTAGTATATCTCTTCTCAAGTAAGGAGACCAAAACTGCACACAGTACTCCAGGTGTGGCCTCACCAGGACCCTATACAGCTGCAGCATAGCCTCCCTGTTTTTAAACTCCATCCCTCGAGCAATGGCAGACAAAATTCCATTTGCCTTTTTAATCACCTGCTGCACCTGCAATCCCACCTTCAGCGATTCATGCACAAGGACACCCAAGTCCCTCTGCACAGCAGCGTGCTGCAATTTTTTACCATTTAAAACATAGTCCATTTTGCTGTTATTCCTACCAAAATGGATGACCTTACACTTATCAACATTGTACTCCATCTGCCAGACCTTTGCCCACTCACTTAGACTATCTATATCCCTCTACAGACTTTCAGTGTCTTCTGCACACTTTGCTCTACCACTCACCTTAGTGTCATCTGCAAATTTTGACACACCACACTTAGTCCCCAACTCCAAAGCATCTATGTAAATTGTAAACAATTGAGGTCCCAACACTGATCCCTGAGGCACACCACTGAGGATAAACCGATGGGAGAGGTGGTGTATGTGGAGTTAATAGCTATACACTATTAACTGGACTGCGTCAGTGATGTGAGATCACATGAAATGGGACTTGATGCAAAAAAGGTTCTGCTGAAGTCCTGTTCTATCATGCTTCTATATGTAGTTTGCCGCTTAATAAATGTTACTAGTATGGTGTCCAGTTCTTGACTGTCCATAAGTTCCAGTACTTGCTTATAATATTAATACAACTGGAGACTGGTTAACAGGTCAAACAAAGCACCCAGCATCTCAGACTAAATGTGCATGAGCTTTCGTCTGCATGCAACCCCAGCTGAGGTCTACATCTGAGTCTTCTGCAGCACAGCCCATCCATGATCTATCCTCCATAGAACTGCTCATGCACCATCTATTAGCCCCAGTTTGCCTGTCGCTCTCTCATGCTGATGATCTACCACATGCTGATTCTAAATCTACAAGAAACTTCAAGCTGTGCCAGTATCTGAGCTGGTGACCTGTCACTCAGTGCAGCTGTGCTTTCAGAGGTACAGATCACCTTTAAGAACAAGCAGCTGGATGCACCACCAATGCTTGGCCTCCTGCTGAGTTCTAAGGCAGCCAGCAGCTTGGCTGCACTGGGCCCCATGCTACAATCATGAAAATGGGGTAATTGTCAAATCTCTATCTCTATCATACATGGCATGTGCAGGTCACAAATTGAGACACTTAAGCCCGAATTATTAGCCCCTGGAAGGAGTAAAGATTGTCTGTCTGTTTCACCGCCTCCCAACTCTTTCTTGTTGACTTTACAGATTTTACTTGAGCTGTAGGTACAGCTAAGTATCCATCACTCATTTTGCAAGAAATTGACAACTAAACAAAGGTACGTTTCACGGCAATAGTGGTACTGAAAGGATGGGAGCACTTTTTGTTATTGTTGTTTAATTAATTTCTGCCAATTTAAAACATAGTAATTTTATATAGTAACATTTAGCAGAAGAGTCTAATCTGTTTGAATGCGTTCCCTGATAAATTGAGGGATATTACATTAAATTTTACATCAGTGGAAAATTAAAGAAATCATGGGCTCAATCTGACCTGAAATTAGCTGATTTTCATTTTTAATTGATTTTCATGAAGGGTTTCTCTTCACTAGATCCCACATGCTGAAAATTGCCTCATTAACTTGGTACAATGCTCCAACAGTGCCCCTGCTCACATGGTAGCCCAATTCTCCCACTCATCATAGCTTGAAATACTCACCATTACTGGGACATCCTTTCTGGCACCTTGCCTTAGAAGTTTGTGCACCTCGTCGAGTGCCAGCAATCCAGAGCTGCCTGGAGCAGTTTGTGACATTTGCTCCAGACATGGCAGAAGAAGGGACATTGTGGTCCACTTCACAGACAGGGACCTGGAGTTTCTATTGGACCAAGTTGAGGAGGGCTGTCCTCTTCCTCCAGAACTGGCAGAGGAGGCTACAACATCAGACCATGCCAGCCTAATCTGAGGTGGCCGCCCAGGTCAGTTCAGTCTCAACTGTCCAGGAGAATGCCCAACAATGCTGCAAAAAGATCAATGACCTTCTCTGATCAGCCAATGTAAGTGCCACCATCTTCTCTCTGCTACCTCACACTCACTCTGTCTCTGCTACTGCACCTACCTCTCACCAAGGCTCTACCACTTTCACTATTGAATGCAACATCATGCCTCACCTGACATCACACATCTAATCTCTTCCAGATGATTATCCCTGCCTGGCCTCTGTACCGCCTATGCACTTACTCAGTACATCTCAATATCTTTCCTCCGTCTGCACCTGCATTAACCGCTCTGCCAGTTGCTTTCATCTCACTCAATCTTTCTCTTTATCTCAATCCAGGAGAAAATGGCCCAAACTAGAACAGAAAGAGCCAAGATGGGATGTGAGGTCATCATCATTCAGTTTCTCATCCTTTACATGCAGAAAATCCTGACCGTGATCTCCCCAGGGGCTGACTGACAGTCCCAATCCCCCAGACTGATATTGGATGTTATTCTTGACTTGTGCTGGGACTCCCTGCCTCAAAGGTATCTCCCTTGACTTGACTAAGGACTTCTCCCCTTACACTTTGAAAAATGGCTATTTGCTTAAAGCACATTCAGTGTATTTGAAGCATAAGCAGCTGGCACATTGTGCAGGTGTGAGGTTGACATAGCATGGTGTCAAATAGCAACATAACCACACCCTTGACTGATCACAGCTGACAACCATGACAGCTATCTGGCTTTGAATCTGCGCTAAAAAGCAAATATGGGTAGTGTCATAGAATCCCTACAGTGTGAAAACAGACTATTCAGCCCATCAAACCCACACTAACCCTTCAACGAGCATCTCACCCAGATCCACAACCTACCAATCCCTGTAACCCTACATTTCACATGGCTAATCCACCAAACCTGCACATCTTTGGACACTATGGGCAATTTCCCATGGCCAATCCACCTAACCTGCACATCTTTGGACTGTGGGAGGAAACCAGAGCACCCAGCGGGAACCCACGTGGACACAGGGAGAATGTGAAAACTCCACACAGATAATCATCCAAAGGTGGAATCAAACCTAGGTCCTGTGGCACTGTTAGGCAGCAGTGCTAACCACTGAGCCACCATGCCACCCAGTAGCTCCAGCTGAGGTGATAAAGCACAAATAGGTAGGGTAAAAAAAGAAAGACACGGATGCTATTAACATCCAACTAGTGAGCGACAACTATGAGGGAGAATGAAGAGCCTGAGATGCATCCTTGTCTAATCCATGAGTGTCTGTCCCTGCATGTACATTTTCCTGCACAGTATTGCAAAAGGAGCTGCCTGTTTGCTCCAAAGTGCAACAATGAAGTGTAGAAGTATACTGTAGTGAATTGGAGATTACAATGTAGCAAGTCTGGTTTGTGTTGGATTTCAATGTCTGTGGATGTGGTGTGCTTGCGCTTGCTGCTTCTGGCATGTACCCAGACATGCTGGTTGGATAGTTGGGCTTTTTGGTCTCAACGTCAATAGGTCCTGGCTGGACAATTTACCTAATTTTTCCAACTTTCTCACCTTGACCCATCTCATTCAGGAGTTGCCCGACGTAACTTTTAATTCTTAGCCTGGAATTTGTACCTGAGTTAATTCATAAATCAACTTTACTCCTCTGGCCCTATTTTTAACATAATGTATGAAGGATAAATAACGTACAATATATCCACCAACACTTTAACTAAATAGTTCAGGCATTTAAATTTGAAGATAAGGTTTTGCTGCATGTAATCACATGCAGTGACGGAACATAAATTATAACCCAATAATAAAACAATACTGCCCCCTAATGGAGTCCATAAATATTTGCTTATAGAGATAGTAGGAACTGCAGATGCTGGAAAATCTGAGATAACAAGGTGTAGAGCTGGATGAACACAGCAGGCCAAGCAGCATCATAGGAGCAGGAAAGCTGACGTTTCGGGCCTAGACCCTATTTGCTTATAGCTTTGGTTCTGCTTCATATTTAAAGAATCATTCAGAGAGAATATGGAAAATTTGTATTAATCTTAGAATGAAATTTAAATTTTTTAAAAAATTATTTTGCGGAACATGTAGATCACTGGAAAGGTTCGAATTTTTTAGCCTGGAAAAGAAATTGTTTCCATAAGTGGTGAGCTGTCTTCTTGAAGATTTCCCATCCACGCGATGCAGGTACACCCAGAGTGCTTTAAGGAAGAGAGTTCCAGGATTTTGACCCAATGACAGAGAAGGAACAGTGATAGTTGCAAATCAGGATGGGTGTGGGGCTTGGAGGGGGATTTGGAGGTGGTGATGGTGTTCCCCTGCATCTACTGTCTTCTCGCTGGTAGAGTTCAAGGGTTTGGAAGCGGCTACCAAAGGAGATTTGGTGGGTTGCAGCAATGCATCTGACACATACCACTGTAAGGCTATGGGGAGAAAGTGAATGTGCTAATCAAGTGGGCTGCCTTTTCTAGATCATGTTGAACCTCTTGAGTGTGGTTGGAGCCCAGGCAAGAGGGGTACATCTTCTCACACTTCTGACATGTTTTACAGATGATGGTCAGGTATTGGTGAGTCAGGAAAGAGTTACATACTAAGCAGAATTTCAGCCTCTGACCTGAATTGTTAGACACAGTGTTTACATTGCTGATCCAGTCAAATTTCTGGTCAATGGTAAGCCCCAGGATGGCAATGTTGGGGCATTCAGCATTGCATGCTATTGAACAAGAAAAAATGATTAGATTTTGTCTCTTGTTGGAGATTGCCTGGCATTTGAGTCATGAATGTTATTTTCCACTTACCAGCTCAATGTTGTCCAGATCTTGCTAAGCACAGATTATTTTAGTATCTGAGGGGTTGTGAATGGTACTGAACATTGTACAACATCGTATGAATAACCCACTTCTGACTTATCACAGAGGGGAGGTTACTGATGAAAGACCTTTTCTAATATTTGTTCAGGGGCAGTATGGTGGCTCAGTGATCAGGGATTTGAAAACAAGAATTTTAAAATCGGGACATTACTCGACTGGAAGTTACTGTTGGTCAGCAAGTGCAGGTGATGGGTGAACAGGACCTGGTGTGAGTTAAGACCTAGGCAGCAGAGTTTTGGATGGCTTCAAGTAGAACATGGGAGATCAGCCAAGTGTTGCATTACATAATGAATTGTAGATGCACCAAAGAGTTTCAGCAATGGAAGAGCTGAGACAGGGGTAAAGTCAGGTTGATATGAGAAGGGTTGAAAAATATAGTCTTAGTGATGACGTGACGCTGAAATCGTCAGCTCATCTCTCAATACTTAACGGGAGGAAATTTCTGCTAATCGAGTATTCAATGTTAGGTAGTCTGATAATTACAGCACCCCCTTTGCATCACAGTGAAGCAGAAATAAACTAGATTTAATGCAAACTATGTGCATCTGACCTATGCAGTGACCTTGGCAGGGTTGTGCCTCAATTGGGTGCCTATTCTGTGAATGTTTGACAAATAAATGAAATGCACGAAAGCACAACAATCAAAGGTTTCCTTCAGGCAGAAGTGAGCAACGAAGTGAGATCATGCCAGTCAAGTGGAAATTTAAACAGTGTGTAATGAGTAGCTGCATCCTGCTTCACATCCATCAACCACCCTGAAATTAAATTTCACCTCTGCTTGTGGCTGCAATTACACAATAGCACCATCACAAAAGACATCAAACCAGTGGCAGTGTGCTGAACTAACTGATGTGTCAAATGGGTTAGTTCTGAAACTTGCCTTTTTTGGTAAGATCTTGAGGTTCTTTCCTGTAGCCACTTTCATCACAGTATTATCTGGAGGTTTTCCCATGAGGGACATGCTGAGAAGACACAGAACTTGTTATTGTTTGTTGTTTAGTATGTTCTGGAAGGTATATTTAATAACACTTTTGTTTCGCAAATAACAAAACACTCAAGATCCTTCATAATCATTCTATTGCCAATATTGTTTATATCCATTAAATAAATATGGTGGATTTTAAAATATCCAACTTAAATTGAATTGGCATAAATAACTTGAAGCAGTGTGTTTGGGATTTTGGAACTGTTGTCATGGAACATCCTGTACAATTATCAAAGAACATGATAATTCTGTCATTATAAGACATTGACAGAAGTGTACTTAAAATTATATTTGATGGGATATGGGTGATTTTAAATATGAAATGCACTGATTGGTTAAACCCAGCTATTTCAAAGTTTTAGAGGGAATTTCACCTTATTAACAGTTATTTGAAAACAATTTTCACTCATCTATGCAGCTTCAACATAATGATCTCTCTTTTTACCAACATTCCCCATTGCCAATTAATTTATCTCTTACTGAGACCAAATCAAGGTGTAATTCATTCCAGTGCTGTCTCTTCTTCAATAGAATAGTCTAAGACAACACCAACGAACAGATTCTTAGAATCAAAATAGTAACAGCGAGTCTAAACAGAATCCAGGAATGCTACATTTTTAGAAAAGCATTTTACATATTTTTGCTTGCGTCTTTGTGATTGTAACTGATATTTGGGGCCATAAATTACAGCGTGCAGATGTTTTTTATTCTGCCATCTGTTGAATGTAGTCATTTTATAACTTTATGGGAGGCTTTTCACAAACAGAATAGTCTGAATCAGTGTCTACAAAGCAAAGTCTCACCTTACGAGAGGGAAGTAAACACAGGTGAGACAAAGCATGTCTGTTGTCCCAAGAGGTGGGGGTAGCTGAGCCAAAGAAGCCAGAACCTGATTGACGTCAAACGTACAATTAGAGTCATGTATACATCTTTAATCCCAGGGCATAATATACCAGTTTCCCCATCAGACCTCATCAAACAGTTTTCCATCTAATTTGGTGTTTGTTAATAGGAATATTCTATATGTCGAGTATTTATTTCTGTGCACCAATCATGCTACTATCCTCCATATATTATGAACCTATCCCCAAGTTATCTCTTTACATTATCACACATCAAAGTCCCATCAGCCTGGAAGGGAACATAATTCATACAATTGGACATTGCCGTGATGCTATGAAATACAGACTGGTCGATCTTAGTGACTAAATTAAAAGGTTTAGGTTTTGGATTGGGACAAAAATACTTAAGAATGACCTGGAACAGTTTAAAATAGCCAAAGTCAACTGATCTGAAAGTAGCCAAGCTCAAAAGGAGTGTTTAAAAAAGCATGGCTGAAACTGTCTACTACATCCTGAAAAGGCTATCCAAAAGTGATTACCTGACCATTAAAATGTATTATCGCAATGTATAGGTCACAATGAGGTCTTCAGATATCTCTGATGGATGACACGAAGTGGAGGTGCTGGTGTTGGACTGGGACGGACAAGGTCAGAAATCATATGACACCAGGTTATAGTCTAACAGGTTTATTTCCAACAGGTTGTTTTCGAATAAACCTGTTGGACTATAACCTGGTGTTGGGTGATTTCTGATCTGGTGGATGAAACATCTTGACTACTGAGTGGAAATGACTTAAACTCGAAAATCCTTTTGCAAAGAGAAAGATTAAATAAATCTAGCAACTCAAAGTTGGTCATCCATGGGGCCATATGCCACCAACATCAGCAGAATTATATATTCAAACACATTCTGTGACCTGGCATGTCCTCCACTCTACCATTAACATCAAACTGCAGGATTGACCTTAATTCTTGGAAGATTGCAGGGAGTCATGCCTGGAGCAGTACCAGGCATTCCTAAACATGATGTATCAACCTCGTGAAGCTACATCGCAGGATTACTTCTGTGCCAAACAGCAGAAGTAGCATGTGTTAGATGGAATGATGCGATCCCACAATAAACCTATATCAGGTCTAAGATCTTTAATTCTGCCACCAGCAATCATGAATGGTAGGGGATGATTAAACAACTTACTGAAGGAGGATTGTTCACAAACACCCCCCATTTTCAAAACTGGGGGAGCTTGGCACATCAGTACAAAGACAAGGCTGATCTATTTGCATCCAGCTTCAACCAGAAGTGCCAAGTGGATGATCCATTTCAGTTTCTGCCTGTGAATCCCAGCAGTGCTGTAGTCCAATCTGCAGCTAATTTGATTCACTCCACATGATATCAAGAAACAGCTAAAGGCATTGGATACTGTAAAGGCTATGGACCCTGACAATATTCTCACAATATTGCTGTAGACTGGTGCTCCAGAACTAGCTATGCCCCTAGGCCCGTAGAATATTCCTACCAACAAACAATAAAGTTATTTCAATACAGCTACAACACTGATATCTATTGGGAGATGTGGAAAATTGTCCTATCCGCAAAGAGCAGGACAAATCTAAGTTGGCCCATTACTGACCCATCAGTCTACTCTTGATCATCAGCAAAGTGATGGAAGGGATCTTCAGCAGTTTGATCAAGCCAGATTTACTCACCAATAACCTGCACTCTGATGCTCAGTCTAGGTTCCACCAAGGCGCTTAGCTCTTAACTGTATTACAACTTTGGTCTAAACATGACCAAACAGTTAGATTCTAGAGGTGAGGTGACAGAGACTACCTTTAACATCAAGGTAGCATTTGATCAGGGAACCCAGAAAAACTGGAGTCAGTGGGAATCAGGGTAAAATTCTCCCTTAGTTGGATTACTACCAAGAACAAAGGAGGATGTTGGAGGTCAGTCATCTCAGTCCTAGTCCATCACTGCAGGAGTTCCTCAGCTCCTGCAATCATCTTCAGCTCCTTCATCAACGATCTTCCCTTCATCATACTGTCAGAAGTGGGGATGTTCATTGATAATGGCACAATGTTCAGCATAATTTACTACCCTTCGATGTTGAAGAATTTATGCTCAAGTACAGCAAGACCTGGACAACATTTAGACTTGAGCTGATAAATAGCAAGCAATACTTGGACCATTCCAGTGCCAGGCAACAACCATCCCCAGCAAGAAAGAATCAAATCATCTCCCCTTGCCATTACCAACCCTCGATGCCACATGATCAGCATCTTGGGATTACCATTGACTAAAAACTGAACTGAACTGAACTATTTCAAATACTGTGGCTACAACAGCAACACAAAGCCAGGGGATTTGATAATAAGAGACCCATATCCTGCCTCCCCCAAAGCCTATCCATCATCTAAGGCAAAAATGAGGTGTAAGATGGAATACTCCCCACTTGCCTGGATGAATGCAGCTCCAACAACACTCAAGAAGCTTGACATCATCCAGGACAAAGCAGCCCTCTTAGCTGGCAAATCCTCCACCACCAAGATATAATGGCAGAATGAGTCCCATCAATAACATGAACTGTAGTTAACATGGAATACTTTATCAGCAAATTGCCTTCCAAGCCACCTGACATTCTGACTTGGAACTATATCGCCATTCCTTTACAATCTCTATGTCAAAATCCTGAAACTCCTTTCCTAACAGTTTGTGGCGAACTTAAACCAAAGGAATTGTAGTGGTTCAACAGGGTCACTCACAATGACCTCCTCAAGGACAATTAGGGATGCTCAATAAATACTGGCCTAGCCAGCGGTGCCCACATCCAATTAACATTTTTATTTTAAAATGGGCCAAAACGCCTGTGAATTTACAAGGTATAGTCTTAAAGAGATTCCTTTGTCTTCACAGAATGACAGATAATAGATCGAATCGCCTAGATACACTGACATTCCCAAATGATTCAGCCCAGTCAGATTTACACAGTGACTCAGTGATACAGCCACAAAACAATCACATCAAAAATTCTCTAATTTATTTCAATGCTAAATACATGCAGAACTTGGCAGGTAGCTGCTGCAAACATTCAGGTTGTTCTTGGATTCAAGCTGCTTCACATGCAAGTCAGGTATCTAAAGTAATTAACCTACCACAGTGATCAGATATATGAGATCCACCAGAACGCTTCTGGATGAACGCCAGCTGGGAACCTGCACATTAACAAGTGCATAGAGCTATTACAGTTTCAGGACTGAGGAAAACTAAAACTGCTTTGCACGGATGGACTTGGAATAGTTGTTACAAGCAATAACTGAAGAGAAAGCCTGGACAAAATTGAGGAGAATCTGGCACAATTGTGGCTCTGCTGTACCACATTGACTATGTGGGTTATCTATTAAGCCATCAAGGGAGCTCCATGTTGTCTCTTCCATCAATAGAACTATAGTCTGCTCCCAACACTTATGCAAATTGAGATTTGTGACCCAGAAATAATAAGTAATCATATGTAAGGAATGGGGTAGACACCAGAAGTAAGACAGCTCCTTGCTGTAATTCTCATTGCTGACATTGGCTTACACTTTATACCACACACTTGGATGGGGATTGGTTAGCTCAGTTGGCTGGATGGCCTATTAGTGATGCTAACCACACAGGTTCAATTCCCACACTGGTTGAGGTTACCATGACTTTCATTCTTGCCCTTCACCTGAGGCATGATGACCGTCAGATTAAACTCATTACCAGTCATCTCTCTTGAATGAGAGAGTGTGGCGCTATGACTCTCTGGGACTACGGCAACTTTACCTTTGTACTTTACACTGAGTGGCTGACATCATCAAGATATTTTATCATTAGCCTGTAGAAGGCAAGTAACTCAGTCCTTGTCATACATGATAAAAATATTTATAAATTACCTGTATCATTGTCAGAGAAAGTTGGCACTGAAGGTGAAGCAGAAAGCATTTCCTAATTCCTGAGCTCATTTGTCGAGCCTAGGCAGCAATAAGATATCAGGATTGAACAAGTTTTAAATAGATAATCGAAATTTAATAGATGTTAACAAAGCATGCCCTCTTTTGACATACAAACATCACTGGAGACTTTGATAACCTTGTGTTTTTTTTAAATACACATCATTTGCAAAGATCTTCCAGCAAAACAGATTTTGAGATTTATAGATTCCCTGTAGACCACATGGGAAATACCTTAGATGCTTAGCCCTTCCTTCACACCTTGAAAGGAAAATAGTTTTCTCTCTTCCCACTGGTCCCCACCTCACCAGACAGGTGGGCTTGGTCTGCTCAGGTGGCCACCGAAGATCTCATGTGACTACTTCAAAAAAGAGCAGAGATGTTAATAGTTATCCCACAATCAAAACCAGGTGATTGGACCATTTCACATTGCATTGGGAGATTGTTGTGTGTTAATTGGCTGTTATGTATCCAACACTCCAACAGTGACTGTATTTCAAAAGTACTTAATTGGTTGGAAAGTGCTTTGGGACTTCCTGAGTTTGTGAATGATATTACATTGCAAGGTCTCTCTTTAACAAAATATTTAATGCATCTTTTTCAGGGTTTCTGTGCAGAAAAAAGGCATAAATAAAAAAGGCAAGTATTTTTTTACGAGTGAAATTATTCTATGTTAATGTCCTATAATCAGGTAAGTTTTTTGACTAAACTTCAAATTCCATGGAAAGGGGAGCTTAGTTTATAATTAAATTGCTCAAAATCATTCCAGTCACAAAATACAATACAGAAGAGGCCCTTTGGCTCATTGAGGCTACACCAACTAAATTAATCTAAATCTACACTAAACCCAATTTTCAGTACTTGGCTGATAGCCTTGAATGTTGTGACATTTCCAGTCTTCATCCACACACTTTTTAAAGTTTGTGTTATTTCGCGTCTCGATTACCCTCCCAGACATTCAGGATTCCCACCACCCTCTAGATGAAAAAAAATCTTCAAACTCCTTTTAAACCTTCTGCCTTTCACCTTAAAATTATGCTCCTTGTATTCACCATGCAGAACCTGAAGACTAAAAGTAAAAATTACCAATATTGGAAATCTGAAATAAGCACAGGCTATTTCAAAAGAAAACCCTCTTTAGCTTTTATATGCGGCCAATAAGATGATGCAACTAGCTGGGAACTTCCAGGAGTTTCTAGGGTTCATAGATTTTATTCCCATTTGTACAAGATCCTTAATGAAAACCAAAAGAACAGCAGATGCGGTGAATCAGAGACAAAAATAGAAATTGCTGGAAAAGCTCAGCAGGTCTGGCAGCGTCTGTGGAGAGAAATCAGAGTTAATGTTTCGGATCAAGTGACCCTTCCTTAGAATCAGATCCTTACTGCATTTTAGGAACTCTTAAATACCTGTTTGATTAGCTCGATTATGCTGATATTGCCATGGCTTCTGAAGTGCACAGAACTTGCTAAGCTACCAAAGAGGCTGGACAAGTAGACTGGAGTAGTTTTCTGTAAGAATGATGTCAAATGTTCACAATCTTTGTGGCAAGTCTGCCTGCAGCAAGACGGACTCAAAGGATCCAAGGAAAAGCTGCAAGTTTAACAAGTCAAAGGAAAAGTTCCATCACTCGGTTGGTTAAACTGCAAGCAACTTACATAGCTCAATGATATTGATCTCACTATCTACAGCATTTCATAAAATAGGCACATTTAATCAGGACTCATTTTGAAACATTCCACTTGATACTTCTCTATCACTAATGCTGTCTTATTGCTCTCAGGGGAAAATGATTTAGCCCCTCAATCATGGCTGATCTGCAATTTAACATAATGGGTTGAATCTGGCCAGAAATCAGCTAAGTGATCTTTTCGTCAGGTTTCATGGAGGATTTTTCTCTGCAGGATCTAGCAAGTTTTCTTGCACGATTGTCGCAGACTTGCTTCATTAACTATCCACCACACCCCTATTGTACCTCTCTTGTCTGATGCTAGCCCGGTTTTCCCACTTGCTATATTCCCCACTGCCAGGATATCCCAGATCTCTGGAGCCAGTGCCATCTTGGAACACCATCCATGTACCCAGTCTAGCATTGGCAGTTCAGAGTTGCCCACACTGTATGGGAGTGGCACAGCAGCTACAAGTCAACGCTTTCCATGCCATAGGGGTGACACGGCTGAACACTTCCTTGCAAGATGAAGTGCATGTTCTGAACCCAATCACTTTTAAGTACCAGACCACACAGCTCATCTGTCCTTAGCCACATCCCATCTCAGAGCAAATGAAAGTTCGCATTCGCCTCTCAGAACAGAAACAAACTGCAACAATTTTACAGGCAGTGAGTGATCACTGCATCCAGTTCTCATCGACTGAAACCAGGTGTCATTCAAGTCTTGTCTAACTCAGAGTGCAGCAGCATTAGGTGCTGCATTGTGCAGAAGGCAATGTTCTGCTGCTCAGTGTCCTCATCCTCCTACTCGGAAGATTTCTCCTTCTCTCCTAGTTTGACAGCTTCCATCACATGTCCTGTTTGTTTAATCTGCTTGTGCAGAACACTGTTTGCTAGGATTATACTGCACACTCTGTCTGCAATGTACTGCAAGGCCCCACTAGTCTGATCCAGGCAGTGGAACGTCATTTTCAATAGGCCTATCATTTGTTCCACCATGGTGCTGGTTGAAGAATCGACTGCATTGTATCTACAATCCAGCTCAGCCAGGGGATTGTATAACAGAGTCATCAGCCATGTCGTAGTAGGTAGCCCTAGTTTCCCAGTAACAATCCTGGTAAGGTATCTGCACCCTCAAACACATCAAGAACATGAGAGTTGTCAAAGATGTAGGCATCATGTCAACCTATTCACAAACTTCTAAGAACTGATACAAATGATGTAACGGCTGCATCTTTTTGTTGTTCTTTGTTCTTTGATAGTGGAATAAAATAGAAAAGGACTGTTTTTAAAATTAGGGACGGAGGAGGAATTTACTGCACTTTTAAAAACAAGTTACTGGAACTCATAGTGAGCTGTGTTAGCACTGTTGCCATACAAAAAGTAGGGGTGTTAAAATAAGACTACACAGCACCAGTGTGTGGGTGCAGTGAGTGAATCAGTCAGCAAGATGTAGCTGATTGGTTTGTGTAAATGTAACCAGTTGTGAACAAAAACAGAAGTTGCTGGAAAAGCTCAGCAGGTCTGCCGGCATCTGTGAGGAAAGAATCAGAATTAATGTTTCGGGTCCGGTGACCCTTCCTCAGTTATGGTTGCCAGAAGTCATCAACCTAACAACAGCTCCCAGATTGGCTCCTGGGCAGGTCAGCAGCTTGGGGGTTTACAAAAGAGAGGCAGAAGCCTCCAAACTAAGCAGGTTCTATGTCTCGATCTTTCTGTAGTAAAAGTACCTGAAGCCTGAAGAAAGCAAGTTATTTTTTCCCACCAGTTGCTATAAGCTATTGTCTTTATCCAGTAACTAAGAAACATTGTAATTAGGAAAACAATTGCCCTGTGCATCTTGAAAAGAAGTGAAGGAACCTGGAGGTAGGTGGTTGAAGGACAGAAGGTCTAGAGAAGGAAAATGAGCATCTCATTAAACTGTGTGAACTGGTGCTTTTGAACTGTGTTTTCCCAGGTTTTCCCTCCACCTATAATACCAACTTTGTTTTTTGTTTGTCCAGGTCTATATGTGTGTTTAGAGGTTTTAAAAGAGGGTTCAAGATGCAAAGATAGTTATATGTTGATAGTTAATGGTCTTGTTTATCTGTGGCTATAACTTCTTTATTTGTATAAACAATAGATCTTGTTAAGTACAGGAACCTGGTCAGTGTTTTCTGAATAACCCGATTCCATCAGACAGGTAAACTGGGGACTTTACGTACTTTGGTTAAATCATTACTTTTTGTGGGAGGCCCAGGGGTAGTGGGGCTTGAGAATTGGTGAACAGTCCCAAGTGGGTTGTAATAATGGACACAGATCATTTGCGCATTGATGTACCGGAATCTTTATCAATCGATAAACTCAGCTGCCTTATGATATAGTCCCCTCAGTGCAATATGTGCTCAGTCTATCATGCCCTCCACTGGAGGGAAGCCAGTTATCTTACTAAGTAGACAGTTTGTCCAGTTGTGAAATTGGAGATGTCCAGAACTGTAAATTTAATATAATCACAAATGAGTCCAGTGGGGGCATAAAAAAATGCAGTGGGGATTTCAGGAGAAACCACTTCACCCCCCCCAAAAAAATGAGAACAGGAGCTCACTACCACAAAAATTAGTTGATGTGAATGGCATGAATGCATTTAAGATGAACCTGGATATATACTTGTGAGAAAAGGAACAGGAGGAATAGTTAATAGTGTGAGATAAAGTTGGACACTCGTGAATCATAATCAATTGTGAGCTAAGTGAATTGTTACTGTGCTGTAAATTATATATATTATGCAACAAAGAATTTTCACAAAGAGACCATGAGAAAACCCACAGAAGTTCTATCCATTTATCCCATTGGACTGGTATAATGTCCAAATCTGACAACACACTAAATGAAGCTGTGATACTCACTGTGATAAAGCTGAGGGACCTGTATAGCTGTTTCCTTCTTATTATTAAATTCTAGCAAATCTACAACCCCTAAATACTATGTCCTGATATTCATTCTAGGGCTGGGAGTGGGTAATGCAATACAAAATACAAATCACTGCTAGGTTTGAATAGAGCTCAGATTGAAAATGTTAAAGTTTCCATCTCTTTAATGGCTACAGATGCCAAATAGTTGGGTAATTAAGACAGTCCCAGGTTGCGAATGGAATTTGTACGCAAGTCAGAACACAATGCAGGAAAATATAAAGGAGACTTCGTACGTCAGCTCTTTAAAATTACGCCTCTGTATGAGATCGTATTTGTAAGCACAAACGTTTGGAAATCGAACGTTTGTAAATCCAGAACCCCTTGTCATTACTAATTCTTTTGCTTGGTTGTGAAGTTGGTTGTCCAGTAAGTTCTACATACTGGATCTGGAAATTGCTCTATATTGAGACGGAGTGTTCAAAGTACCAATCTGTTCTCTTTCCAGCCAGAAGATGCCACATTCTGATGAGCATGGACAGATATAATTTTGAAATACAGAATGACACATTGTCAGGGTATGACTTAAATATTTACCTGATATCACTCTGTAGAAAAATTCCAATGTTCCTATTGTTAAGAGAACTTCCAAGGCAGCAAACCACTTCTCCAAACTCCTGCATTATTTTCACCATCTCGCATATGGCTTTGAGGAGACAGAAGGCAAGTTAGGTCGAGCAGTAACACTTGGCACAATCTCAAGAAGTGTGTTCATTAAAAATTCATTCGAGAATTGATGACACTGCTGCTCTTTAAGTTGGGGACAACTGCAAATGTATCTGTATACTAAGAGAGGTGTGAAGCTGCTGTTAATTTGATGAAAGGAATGAGCAGATGATCCAGGACCAGAGAGAAGCCATTTAAGGTAAATTCATCTACCTCTCTGGCGAGAGATAGTAGGAACTGCAGATGCTGGAGAATCCGAGACAACAAGGTGCAGGGCTGGATGAACACAGCAGGCCAAGCAGCATCATAGGAGCAGAGAGGCTGACGTTTCAGGCCTAGACCATACCTCTCTGGCGAAGCTAGTTACAAAATTCTTCTCCATTCAACAACTTTCTGCTCATTTCGGGTGGCAACTGGTGAGTTGTATATTTGCATACAAGTAGTTCTGAATATACAATTGTTGTCTTCAGTTGCTATCAGAGATACAATGCACTGAATAATCTCCCTCTGTCTAAAGGTGTAATTGTATAGTATTCTACGACTGTAAAATATGTAGCAAAAGTGCAATTTCCTGTTGCAGACTATTTCTTTCCCCGTACTGTATTTGCTCCTTTTTAATTGGAACTGAACTGCAGCATTCTTGCGAGTTCTACCGCAGACTGGAGAATTCCTCAAACTACAGTACATCGCATGTAAATGTTGCCCCACCGTTTCCTTGAAATTAATTCGCAGCACCCTGTTAAAAGTCAGAATTGAGACTATCTTCAAGAAACATTTTTACATCGCGGGAGTGGGTTTGAAGGTTGCATTGTAACCATGGCTTACTTCCCTAATTTGATTTGTGCTCCTTTTTCTATTCCTTAGACAATGGAAATCTTAATAAAAATCCAAAAGAACGTTAGATGCTGGAAATCAGAAACAAAAACAAAAACGAAAATTGCTGGAAAAACTCCGCGGGTCTGGCAGCATCAGTGGAAAGAAATCAGAGTTGAGGTTTCAGGTCCAGTGACTGTTCTTCAGAACTGATGGTAGCTAGGAAAAAGTTGATATATATACAGAAGAAGGGATGGGAGGGGAGGAGAGTAGATGAAAGATGGAGATATAACCCACAAAGAGAGAAAAACAGTTGGACAGACAAAGCAATGGTTAAAGGTCTGTTAAGCAGGTTAAAGCACTGCAGCAAAGCTGAGACAGAGGTGCTGGCCAGGGATCATTATAAGTGTTTCTGAAGAAGGGTCTAGGTCTGAAACATCAGCTTTCCTGCTCCTCTGATGCTGCTTGGCCTGCTGTGTTCATCCAACTCTACACCTTGTTGTCTCAGATTTTCCAGCATCTGCAGTTCCTACTATCTCTGAAACAATTTTAACCCCGCTGCAAAGCCTTTCTGAAGACGGGTCTAGGCCCGAAACATCAACTTTCCTGCTCCTTCAATGCTGCATGGCCTGCTGTGTTCATCCAGCTCTACATGTTGTTATCTCAGATTCTCCAGCATCTGCAGTTCCTACTATCTCTCATCATTATAAGTGTGTTGAGGTGGCAGGCAACTGGAAGCTCAGGGTCTTCTGCAAAGCAGTCGCCCAGTCTGTGCAGCGGTTGTCAGCCAATTTTTTCCTACGTACCATCAATTCTGAGGAATGGTCACTGGACCCAATCTGATTTTTCTCCACAGATGCTGCCAGACCTGATGAATTTTTCCAGCAACTTCTGCTTTTGTGAATAGAAATTATAGTGCTTTGTTAATGCTATGGCATCAACAAGTTCACCACCAATCAAATTAGCATATACACAGGTTAAAAATATTTTATTTTTCTCTTTAATTGTATATAATTTCTTTCCAATATTTTTCTTATTTCTTTCCTCCCTTATAAAATGAAGAATTCGATTGGATTTCTGCCCAGCGTTTATTACAGTGGCCACAAATAGCAAGAATGAAGAAATTGTATATTGCTGAAAAAAGACACATTTTGTCAAGGCTTTTTGTCTTGTACTCATCAGATCAAATTTGCGAGAAATATCAAAATGAAAGGGAATGACATTTATACTATACAGTATAAAATATTAATATCACAAAACAGCAAAGTTATAATGAACAAATAACGTGTGGTGTGATGTTGATCACGGTATAAATGTTGCCCAATGCACCAATAAGATGCTCTGCACATTTCAAAAATGATTTAACTCCCATTCTAATAACTCATCTGAGAGATTGTGCCTCTGACAGTTCAGCACTACTGCAATAGTGCACCACAAATGTCAGCCTAGATTTTATGCTGAAGTATCAGTGGTAAGAATTGAAGCTAGAGCTTTCTAATGCAGAGGTGAAAGTGCAACTGACTGAGTCACGGCTGACACCTAAAACCTAATTCTTGATATTCATTGAATCCCTACAGTGTGAAGCAGGCCATTCAGCCCATCGAGTCCATGACCCTCTTAACAGCATTCCACCCAGACCCTGACCCAGCCCCAGACCACCTACCATATTCCCTGTAAACCTGCATGTCCCATGGCTAATCGATCTAGCCCACAGCCCTGGACACTATGGGCAATTTAGCATGGCCAATCCACCTAACCTGCACATCTTTGGGCTATGGCAGGAAACCAGACCACCCGGAGGAAACCCACGCTGACACAGGAAGAACGTGCAAACTCCACACACACAGTCAGCACAAGGGTGGAATTGAACCCAGTCCCTGGTACTGTGAGGGAACAGTAGCAACCACTGAGCCTCTGTGCTGCAAACTGATGTGAGGTAAAGCTAGGCATGTGGATGCCAATCCTAATTTGTTAATCTTGCTGGGACATACTTATTTTAATGGCGACAGTGAAGACTGCAGATGCTGGAAGTTAGAGTCAATAAATGCGGATCTGGAAAAGCACAGCAGGTCAGAGAGCATCCAAGGAACAGGAAAGTCAACGTTTCAGGCTGAAACCCTTCGTTAGGATTGGGAGGGGGAGGGGAGCCCAGAAAAAAGGGGGCTGGGGCTAGGGGAGGGTAGGTGAGATGGAGAAAGTTGGATGCAGGTAAGGGGTTATAATGATTGGTCAGTGGGAAGGGTGGAATGGATAGGTGAGTAGGAAGATGGACAGGTTGGGAGTGGTGAGATTTTGAAAGTGGTGATGCAGGTAGGGGGTTATTGTGGTTGGTCAGTGGGAAGGGTGGAGCAGATAGGTCAGTCAGAAGATGGACACATTGGGGAGGAGAGATTTTGAAGCTGGTAAAGTCAGTATTTAGGCCATTGGACTATAAGCTCCCAAGGCGAAATATGAGGTGTTGTTCCTCCAGTTTACATTTAGCCTCACTCTGACAGTGGAGGAGGCCAAGGATGGACATGTCATCAGGAGAGTGGGAGGGGAAATTAAAGTGGATCACAATGGGAAGGTCAGGTTGGTTGGTGCGTGCAGAGCACAGATGCTCTACAAACTCGTCCCCAAGTCTGCATTTGGTCTCCCTGATATAAAGGACACCACACCGGGAGCAACGGATACAGTAGATGAAGTTATATGAGGTGCAGGTGAATCTCTGCCAGATTTAGAAGGATTGTTTGGGGCCATGGATGGAGGTGAGGTGGGAGGTGTAGGGGCAGGTGTTGCACCTCTTGCGATTGCAGGGAAAGGCACCGGATGTGGTGGAGGGAGTGTGGGGAGTGTGAAGCTGACGAGGGAGTCACAGAGAGAATGATCCCTGCGGAAAATGGACAGAGGTGGGAGGGAGATAGTAGGAACTGCAGATGCTGGAGAATCTGAGATAACAAGGTGTAGAGCTGGATGAACACAGCAGGCTAAGCAGCATCAGAGG